GGGGGGACCCAGGGGTGTCAAAAATCCGATTCAAACTTGTTTCGGGCGTTCGCGTGAAAACTGGAGGCGAAACACTGGTCCAAATGAGGCATTTATGTGACAATAACCCGACTTTGAGGGGCTGTAACTCTCAAAGCGCATCCAATAGGCAAACTTTTTATATTGTGACGTATAGGCCCATTGTTGGCCCAACTACCCTGCAAAGCACAGCTCTGTAGCACCTACCGTGTTCTTACGGTATCTCTTTTTCAAACTTGTACCCCACTTAATTGTCCCAAATCGGCGGCCATCTTTAGCCATTTTCATCAAGAAAATTTTCCGAAAATTTGTTTTTCTGTTTTGGTTAAATTTGAACTTGGGGGGACCCAGGGGTGTCAAAAATCCGATTCAAACTTGTTTCGGGCGTTCGCGTGAAAACTGGAGGCGAAACACTGGTCCAAATGAGGCATTTATGTGACAATAACCCGACTTTGAGGGGCTGTAACTCTCAAAGCGCATCCAATAGGCAAACTTTTTATATTGTGACGTATAGGCCCATTGTTGGCCTAACTACCCTGCAAAGCACAGCTCTGTAGCACCTACCGTCTGCTTACGGTACCTCTTTTTCAAACTTGTACCCCACTTAATTGTCCCAAATCGGCGGCCATCTTTAGTCATTTTCATCAAGAAAATTTTCCGAAAATTTGTTTTTCTGTTTTGGTTAAATTTGAACTTGGGGGGACCCGGGGGTGTCAAAAATTCGATTCAAACTTGTTTCGGGCGTTTGCGTGAAAACTGGAGGCGAAACACTGGTCCAAATGAGGCATTTATGTGACAATAACCCGACTTTGAGGGGCTGTAACTCTCAAAGCGCTTCCAATAGGCAAACTTTTTATATTGTGACGTATAGGCCCATTGTTGGCCTAACTACCCTGCAAAGCACAGCTCTGTAGCACCTACCGTCTGCTTACGGTACCTCTTTTTCAAACTTGTACCCCACTTAATTGTCCCAAATCGGCGGCCATCTTTAGTCATTTTCATCAAGAAAATTTTCCGAAAATTTGTTTTTCTGTTTTGGTTAAATTTGAACTTGGGGGGACCCGGGGGTGTCAAAAATCCGAATCAAACTTGTTTCGGGCGTTCGCGTGAAACCTGGAGGCGAAACACTGGTCCAAATGAGGCATTTATGTG